CAAGACCTTTTCAGTGTGCATTTGCCCATAATGAAAAATTGAAATGTTTCGAGAAAAAAGTTTTCAAACACGATTTCAGTACCATAGTTAAAAGAGGGAAATGGTTATAAGCCCGATAAAGATCAAAGAAGCAAGCAAACAGTCTAAGATTTATATTGGAAGGTCCTTGACCCTGCGCATCTTCTTTTTATGCTGATTGACTATGCAAGAATTACATACTCGCAATTCTTCTTTTGGTTGCTTGTATGAGCACACATAACCACCTTTTGTATTTAACCAGGTTTTGTGCAGGATCAACCACCAAAATATCTAACAAAAAAAATATAACAAAGACTCTTGCCAGGCTTCATAACCATTCGCTCTATTAACTATGGTCAGTAGTGAGAGTTTTTCTCAGTGCGTTCTAACTACAACTTGTAGGTATAAAACTTCGGAACCAAAAATTTAAGGCTTTCAGTAATATGAACGACAATGCATTTTCAATTGTTAGAAGCTATCCTCTGGTCAGTAATTTAGTTCTTTTTGAGTTGCGTCGCTAAAGGCAAAAAATCTGAATAACAAACATTAAAAATTCATTATCTTGTAAATATAAAGTAAATTTTTAACCAGTTTTGCGGTTGAAAGATAATTAAAGGTCAGGGCAGGTTTTAGCCAAAAATAAATATACGCAACATTACCTTGTTCAATCCCCCAAAGCGGGTGAAACCAATGAAAGAAAGGTTTTTATGCGTTTTTGTAAATAAAATAATAAATGAATTGGGTAGATAGAAAGAAACTCCATTTAGAGAACTCATGTGAGTGAATTTATATTTCGAAAAGAGTCGCATTTCAGCTGGACATTAAAAAGCGAAACAACTACTTTACTTAGAAAAGGTGTTGTGAGCGGGAAAAATATTTTTTATAACAGGGAGTGATTAAATTTGCTTCTTTCACCAAAGTAACATACTCTAATTCGATCACTTCAGAGAAATCTGTACTGCCCTCGGCAGATTCCTCATATCACTTTGATCATTTTAGTGTCACTGACATTTTAGGTAATATAGATTTGGTACCTCTTCGTAAGANTAATGTTGAAATACAAACAAACGTAAGTAATTTCCGTCAATATTTCCGTCAATATCCGCATACACAGGAAGTGGTTCGTCAAGACCTTTTCAGTGAGCATTTGCCCATGATGAAAAATTGAAATGTTTCGAGAAAAAAGTTTTCAAACATGATGTCAGTACCATAGTTAAAAGAGGGAAATGGTTATAAGCCCGAAAAACATCAAAGAAGCAAGCAAACAGGCTAAGATTTATGTTGGAAGGTCCTTGACCCTGCACATCTTCTTTTTATGCTGATTAACTATGCAAGAATTACATAATCGCAATTCTTCTTTTGGTTCAGTGGTTGTATGAGCACACATAACCACCTTTTGTATTTAACCAGGTTTTGTGCAGGGTCAACCACCAAAATATCCAACAAAAAAATATAACAAAGACCTTTGCCAGGCTTCATAACCATTCGCTCTATAAATATGGTCAGTAGTTAGAGTTTTTCTCAGTGCGTTCTAACTACAACTTGTAGGGTATAAAACTTCGGAACCAAAAATTTAAGGCTTTCAGTAATATGAACGACAATGCATTTTCAGTTGTTAGAAGCTATCCTCGGGTCAGTAACTCAGTTCTCTTTGAGTTGCGTCGCTAAAGGCAAAAAATCTGAATAACAAGTGATTAAAAATTCATTATCTTGTAAATATAAAGTAAATGCTTAACCAGTTTTGCGGTTGAAAGACAAGGTCAGGGCAGGTTTTGGCCAAAAATAAATATACGCAACATTGCCTTGTTCAATCCTCCAAAGCGGGTGAAACAAATCAAAGAAAGGCTTTTATGCGTTTTCAGTGTAAATAAGATAATAAATGAATTGGGTAGATTGAAAGAAACTCGATTTAGAGAACTCATGTGAGTGAATTTATATTTTGAAGAGTCGCATTTCAGCTGGACATTAAAAAGCGAAACAACTACTTTACTTAGAAAAGGTGTTGTAAGCGGGAAAAATATTTTTTATAACAGGGAGTGATTAAATTTACTTCTTTCACCAAAGTAGCAAACTCTAATTCGATCACTTCAGAGAAATCTGTACTGCCCTCGGCAGATTCCTCATATCACTTTGATCATTTTAGTGTCACTGACATTTTAGGTAATATAGATTTGGTAC